TTCATACAACCATGAGTAAATTTTCTGGTCAAATGACTCAGAATTTTGCTGCATGACTAATCCCACACTCAATGTGGAAACTATATAAATGAATTCGATTTGCTTGTGGATAATAAATGACTACTTTCTAAAAACTGTCTGCAAAGCATTAGAGAGTAGATGAATTCAATTCTATTGATGTTTTTCAAACTCTCAAACTCAGCAGACTTTTGAAAAAAGTCTGTAATGCTCACAAAAAAGAACATCGCCCCCCCCCACCAGCTTTATCAAGGATTTTGCAACTCGTAGGACAAGAAATCCTAATTAGGCCCTAAAATTTCCAAAATGTTAAAAGGACAATTTGGGATGATCCTGTTGGCAATATTTTTTCTTACAATGATACCTTTAAGTTATTTTAAAAGTATTTTATTATGGTAAAATAATTATAAATCCTTTCCTGGGATATAGTGGCTGAAAATAATATTTGATACTATTGCAAATAACAATTGTTTTTCCTTCAAAAACTCAAAATTTAAAAAGATAATAATGATCCATCCATGCGGTGGCCCCTGCCCTCCAAGATTCTGGACTCTGGAAATCGCCCCCAAGATTACAGCAGATGCGGTACTTTCTCCCAAACCACATAGCTCCTTGACCTTTCAATACCAGAACACAGACATTGTTGGCACAGGCCCTGGTCTCAGTCATGAAAACCATTTGGGAATAAACAGGCATACAACACGTTTCCTCGATTCCTCCCAATTCCTTCACATGCCATTGATTTTTGAGAGTCAAAAGCTTCATCTAGGGTCAAGTCGTTTACCATTTCAAAATCACTATGATTTATTTCTAATAATTTGTCACTAGAAATCCCACTCCTGAACATATATCCAGAGAAAGCTCTAACTTGAAAAAGATACATGCACCCCAATGTTCACAATAGCCAAGGCTTGGAAGCAACCTAAGTGTCCACCGAGAAATGACTGGATAAAGAAAATGTGGTATATTTATACAATGGAATACTACTCAGCCATAAAAAAAGAATAAAAATAATGCCATTTGCAGCAACATGGATGGACCTAGAGATTATCGTATAAGTGAAGTAAGTCAGATGGAGAAAGAGAAATATCATGTGATAACACTTTTATGTGGTATCTTAAATAAATGATACAAATGAACTTATTTACAAACTGGAAATAGACTCAGACATGGTTATCAAAGGGGAAAGGGGTGATGGGGATGGATAAACCAGGAGTTTGGGATTAACATATACATGCTACTATACATAAAATAGATAACCAACAAAGACCTACTGTACAGCACAGGGAACTGTATTCAATATCTTGTAATAACCTATAATGGAAAAGAATCTGAAAAAGAATATATATGTATGTGTATAACTGAATCACTTTGCTCTACACCTGACACTAACACAACGTTGTAAAGCAACTATACTTCAATTAAAAAATTCATTGCAAGAGCCATTCTTAGCTAACCTTTTTGTTTTCAAGGGGGTAACATTCCAATGTACTGTCTTTGTGGGATTATCAGTCTGTAATCTACTCATTTCCTACCCATGCAGGTTTGTAATAGACACTCACAGACAACTTAGGCTACATTCCAAGATATTCCTTAGTTTTCTTTAAAAATTTTTCTATTCTGAGCACTACTAGCCAGGGTTGGTGGAGGGAGCCCAGGTGCAGGGAGCCATCACCACTAGTCAGGGTCAGTTTTAACTCTGCAGAGTCAAAAGCAGCTTGAGAGCAGAAGGAACCAGATTCGGGTGCGTGAGGACAAGTGCACCCCTATCCTGACAAAAGGACATTTGTTGGCTTTTACTCAGTTGCATTTCTACCCATGCCTTCTAGAATCAAATTTCTCCAAAGACTGTAGACAGTCCTCTTGCCTCTTTTTTTCCCCCTGGTCTCTCTCCAACAACCCATTCCTGTCTGGGTTCAGCCTCTCCCACTATGATGAGCCAGTTCTCTGGAAGGTGTCCAGAGGTCTCCTCCGTCCACAGCCTCCTTTCCCCGGCTGTGCCTCTGTTCTAGGAAGACCCTCAACCAGGGCACTTCCCACCGAGCTACTGCTCCCCTTTCTTCAGTCTACAAGTGGACGTCGTCTCCAAAGCTACGATTCCATTCTTTCCACGCTTTCTCTTCCTTAGTCATTTCGTCCACGTCCATGACTTCAACTAGAATTTATGCTGGTGACTCCTATCTGTCTCTGGTTCTGACCTCTCCACCCATGTTTCCACGGATGTCCAGTTTCACACGGATGCCCTCTGACACCTCTGCTGCAATGGGTGTGCAACTCAGTGTGGCTTGGTCACCTTTTCCTCCAAAACTTCCTGCACTGGGGCTCAAAATATGAGTCATCTGTAATTCCTCCTTCTCCCTGAATTGGTCGCAACACAGCTTAGGGTGGAGATTTCTCTTCTTCCTGATGTGTCTTCCCAACCCATCAATTAGGAATTTGTGCCCTTCCTGCCCTTGTGTTGGGAAGGGCTGTAGTCCTTCAGGGGTGACTGGGAGGGTGTGCAGAGTTAGGGAAAAGGACCAAGATGTGCCATTTTGGACTTGAGCCCAAGCCATGCTCTTCAGCCTGACTTTACCCTGAATAAAGTTAGTGTGTTAATTTCCTTCTGGTTTCTCCTGTGTGTTCTCAATCTGGTTGAGAATCTAAAGGGAAAAAGGGCTTGGTGGATCATCTTCTACATACCTGATAGCAAACTCTCTTAACTGTTTTCCCCGACGCTTTTGTCTTCTCTTGGGTGACACTGCTAACTATCATAAAAAGTCAAAACAATATATATACCTTTCCATCTTGATTTTCACTTCTTGGACTAAAAGATTTGGCTGTGGACAATCCTCCTCCATCCTGACCCCCAAACTTTAAATGTATAACTTGGAGATGATGTCAATTACTCTTTTTTAATGAAAACCTACCATAAGGAAAAAGGTATGAATTCTGTTAAATTAACTTCTGAAAAGGACTGATTGGCTGATTTAATATTTATTGAATTCTGCAATGCATTAGCGTCACATAAACTTACAGGTAAGAAACAATTAATAACATGCCATTACTTGGAGAAGGAAATGATCAATTAGCAACAAACAAATCAGAAAATAACAATGGAACCTAAATACCACATTCTCTCAATGGCTCAGTCTGCTTATTACTAGTATCCTTGAGAAAACTGATGCAAAGAACAGAAATGAACGCATCTAAAAAGAAATATCTGTAATCCGACTGCAGGGCAGTCCGGCATTTGGCTGCCAAAAGAGATAAATGATGTTCTTGTGTGTACTTGAAACTTAACAAATGGCTGCAGCAAGACTCAGGATGGTAACAACTGTACTGAAGTAATAGCTCAGAAAACCATCATTGCTATTTAGTTTCTTTTTGTTGTTATAAATGCAGAGTTTGGGGCAAATTAGTTACTATGCTGTGCCTATGGAGTGTTTCAAGGATCTGCAGTCCATTTCAGCTCACTCACAAATCTTAGTCAATGAGAAATAGAAAGTAAAGACGACCTTCCTACTTTTCTGTTAATTATTTCTCCCACTGTTTGCAGGAGGTTAATTCAGTTTTGCTGTTGCTTTAAATTACTCCACCAGACCACTGTGAGGCAATTCGGTATACAATTCCCGTCCTGATGTGCCCTGCAAGGCAGACTCCGGAACTCTCCTCAAAGACCACCCCACAGCGGATGGGAATGTGGGCTCTCACTGCAGTGGGCTGCGGTATCATGAAACCTGTGAGCTACCTACACGCGACGAGGTGCTACCTGTCAGCCCGAGTGCCAGGGACTGACGAAGTCCACCTGACTTGTAGTGCAGCCAGCACCCCGATCCAGCATCCTCACTGTACACAGAGTCTGCAAGCAAGGCCCTTCCAGCTTCAAATCAGAACAGCCGAATGAGAGAATGCTTATTTCGTTTTAGGAAACAAGTTGCACGTAAGAAAACTCGATCTCTTGTTTCCCATCTTAATGATGCTGGCATTTAAGAAATGCATTAGGCAACGCCTTTTGGAGTTTCCTTTAATGCTTACACATGGTAATACGTTGTAGGCCCTAAGAACATCAGTGGTTGAGCCTCTATGCAGAGCTGTACGCTTGATTTTGTATTGTTAGCAAACCACACTGATTTTGAGATCCTACAAGCAAGTAACAAAATGTAAGTATTGTCAGATTCTTGAACTGTTCTCCTGAATTTTACAAATTACTTTTTTATGACCCAATTTCTCCAATCTCCTAAGTCTTCCAAAGTAAGAGTCCACCTTAGTGGTTATTTGAAACTCCACAAATTCAGTCATGCCACTTGCACCTTGCCGCTCTAACTGCAGTTTCATTATGCGAGTAAAGAAACAAAACAAGCAAAACCAACCCCACACAGGAAAAGGCAGCACTGGCTTGGGAGCCACAGGATGGGCAC